TTTTTTTTTTTTTTTTTTTAATCGAATTAATTCAGAGTTCTTCGTAAGTGTGAAAGGGTGAAAGACGAACGAAGAGAGGCACGAGAGAACGAGCGGGTACTACTGACGCGACGTCGACGCTCGGCGTCGCGACGCCCGTGCCCCACTAACCCGCATTTCGCGCACGAGGCTACCCTTGGCAATACTTTCTCTGACTACGTCACGCGAGTATCGCGCGCCTGTGCGAAGAAGAAGGGTTGTCGACGTGGGTGCAGGGTGCGGGAGGAGAACAACCCCCGTGGCGCCTCTGCTAATAAAGCTTATCCTCGTCAGGGTCGCGGTCCGTGTAAATCAATGCCAAAATAGGCTGGAACGTGGTCACGTTTGAGCTAAATATACAGCGAGAGTCAAAAATATACAAGTACACACTGCTTTCGAATATTGTCGATATTCCCAAACTCTTACGACTTCGTGGAAATATTTGGAGGACTTGGAAAAATAATATTATTAGTTATAACTTGAGGTTTTTTTTTTAGCTCGAATTCGATATATATATATATATATATATATATATATATATATATATATTTACATATACGTTGAGTAGAATTATTAATTTTAACTTTATTAAAATTATTAATTTCAATTTTATATCATTTGATTCATTTATATTTAATAAAAGAATTAATTATATTGATTAGTTTTTATTAAATTAACAGAAAATTTCTATAATACGAATTCAAATCATATGCTTTGTCAAGTTCGTCAATTGTCTCAAGTTCGCTATACCGAACGAGAGACTTCAATCTTCGAGTCCTTAGACTTAATTGCGGGGAAAAAATTTTCAGCGCTCGTAAAGACGTTCCTTTGGAATTTTGTAAAATTCTCGAGGGGGAAAGTTGGTCATCTTTCGAACAGAAACATTGCCTGTCGACGATTGAAGCTTCGCGCGAGAGACAAGTCGGGAAGTCAAAACTCCAATGAATCAAATCGTAATCCAACACCCATCGACGTTATTTCATACGATGATGACCGTTGTTACCCGCTTCTCGAGTAGCGAGCATCGCGGCGGGCATCGATGAATGGAACAGAGCTGAAATAAATCGATCCTGGTACGCGATGTACGATTCAGCCGAACCTCGACGCCGGAGTACGGTGTACATGATTCGCGATGCTTGTTTATTCGCTCGATTTCCAGCCGTATCATCCATCAGATTCGCAGAACTTGAGGATTCGAAGGCACCCCGCTACGAGGTCGACCTACGATCTACAGATTCTGTCTGATATTATCCGGTGATGTGTGCGAAGCTGGAGCTTGCCACTCTCGTTACGATTGCGTCCCGGGCATCGATCTGTGCTCGCGAGCGCGCAGCCTGCGTGAAATTCTTTTTCGCATCGTATTGTCTTCGGGGAGTCCCGCTTTCGTAGAGTTCTCTCCGTATGTAGGTGAAGCTTCTCCCCGCTGGCGATATTTAACGTCACAGGCGAACGTACGATATATATATTTTCTGTTGCGATGCCACCACCCGACGTGCTTTACAGCACGGTTAATGCAGAATTATGCAGATGTTGTTGACGCGTTCTGTGGTAACATCGTGAGAAACGATGAAATTCTTGCGGATTTTCAGTGGAGGAAAAATTGGTAAATTTAATCGTGTTGTGTATAATTGTACATATAGATTGCGCAATCTATAGTTTATATTATAGTTATATTATTTTCTGTAGTTTATATTATAGTTATATTATTTTCTGTAGCTTATATTATAGTTATATTATTTTCTGTAGTTTATATTATAGTTATATTATTTTCTGTAGCTTATATTATAG